AAAAAAAAAAAAAAAAAAGAAAACGAGCTGAGGACACCCTGAAAACAGAACACTTGAGCCAAGCTCACCCACATACAGGCAAAGATCCTAAATAAATTCATAGAAGGTTCAATATAGCAGTGAATTAATAGAAAAAAAGAGGCTGAATCCAAGAATGTAAAGATGATGCAACATTAGAAAGAAAACTGCCTAAAATATTACCACATTAACAGACAAGATTAAAATAGGCATTTGATCAGCTTTTGAAAAAAAATTCAACACGAATGCATAATACCATTTAGCACACAAACATTAGAAGGAGACTTCCATTTCCTAAAATCTATAGCAAACAAACTTAAATGTAAAATGTGAAATGTTAATAGCCTTCCCATTAATGTAAGGAACAAGACATAGCAGTATGCTACCAACTCTACTGTTCAAAACTGGACCAGAATGCATAGCCAGAGGATATGAATACAAAAATAAATAAAAGTTGGGAATATTAAAAAGAAATAGAAATTATTTGTTGTAAATACGATCATCATTTTAGAAAATCCAAATGGAAAGGCCATGGATTATTCAAATGTATAAGTGAATTCAGAAAGCTGGTGTATAGATAACTACAGTAAAATCAAGAGCCTTGCCATACAAAGCAGTAATTATTAGAACATGTAAAGATATGTTCTATAATATATTATAGAACATATATATGTATATATATTATATATATATACTTGTTATATTTATTATAAATGAGAGTCAAAATTAAAATGAATTTCACTACACTGCACAATATTAGATAAGATCAAAAGACCTGGCTCTCACAAAATTATGCAGATCTGCCTCTTCCCTGTAGAAAGTAGATCTTATCAAACGGAATGTTCCCCAAAGTCAAAGTTTGACTAGTGAAGAGATCCCATCATCACTATGCATTTTCTCTGACAGCTCAGAACCTGTCCTGGCCCCGCTACCTTCTGCTGCAGCTTTTCGATCTCATATCACGCCTCGGATGCAGACCCGTTGTTTGCAAGAGTTTAAGTTGAGAAACTGTCCAGAGCTTACAGGGTGGTGATATTTCTCAAGGAGCCTTTAATCAATGAAACGGGAGCCAAAATGAGGCCTTACCTCCAAAGACAGGATTTTAAGTACCACCAAGACCATAACAGAGTCACGGCCCTTATCGTCCCACCCCTGCTGTCAGCCCCGGGAGGCCCCAGGCGGGCGTAACCGGATGTGTCGCATACTGACTTCCGTCTTTGGAGTCTGAAGGAGATGCGACTGTTGTGAGGGGGGCGGCATCGCGTCAGCAGAGAGAGGAATCCAGGCCCTGCCAGGGGTAAGGTAAGGATATTGAGTAGGGGTTGAGGGAACCCCCTATCCCAAAAGACAGAAGGCCTCACAGTCTTGCCTCTACCGTTAGCCCTAGAAGGTTCTAGATAGGGATCCCCCAATGTATTGTCCTCTGAATTCTCCTTCTGGGAACTTAGAGAAGTAATAGCATTGGACCAGGGTGTTGGCATAAAGCCAGCAGAGGGAGGAATCCAGGCCCTGTCCGGAGTCAATGAAGAGTTCTGTGGAACACTCCGTCCCCCATAACGGAGACGTCACCAGAGAGCCCGGCCCCTGCTGTCAACCCAGGGAGACCCCAGGCAGGGATGGCTGGAAGTGGTTTACCTGACATTCCTGTCTGGCCGCTCCAGGAGGTGAGGATATTTGGCTAGGGTATGTCTCAGGCCAGCAGGGGAAGGAGTCCCAGGCTCTGCCAGGAGTCAATGAATGCCCCTATTTTCATTCTGGGGGAAGCTGCCTACCGAGAACATTGGAGGCCTACAGAGCCCCGCCCCTGGCATGGCTGTAAGGCCCAGGTGCCCCCTCGCTTCAGCTCGTGGTGGATGCCGGGGAGAGGGGTGCATAAGAGCCTTGGTCTGAGACTAGACAATTCAAGTTAGCAGAGGGAAGAATCCTAGAGGTGGCTTGGAGTTAAGTTCAGAGCCTTGAGCAAAGACCAAGGGGAATTCCTCCCTCAGGACAAAGGGGCCCCCACAGAGCACCACCCCTACTATGAGCCCTGATCGCCCCTCAGCAGGGCTGTCAGGCTAAGAGGTCCCTCACTTTATCCTCAGTGGTCACAGGGAGATGCGGGCACTATTAGAAGGAGGTGACTCAGACCCTTCTAGGAGTCAAAGTAGGACTGAAGGGGGTACACAGAATCAAGTTCTTCCTCTCTGGTCAGCCCTGGGAAGCCCTGGGGATATCAGAGGTTATGATTCTCCCCCACGACCCTCCCTGCATATTCCAGGATATCAGGTGGAGGAGAGTCTTGGTCTGATTGTTACAGGCCTCAGGTCTGCAGAAGGGAGGATACCAGGCAGTCAAGGGAAGGAGCCGTGATAAGGAACCTAAGGATTGAGAGGACCACTCATCACAGAACAGGTGTTTCACAGAGCCCTACATGTGATGTCATCCCTGGCAGGGGTCCCTGGAAAAGATATGTTAAACTGAGGCCTCCCTAAACTCCTCCTCAGGACTTTCAGGGATGTGAGGGCCTTGCTCAAAGGGAATAGGTATAAGGTCAGCCAAAGGAAGAGTCCCAGCCCCTGCAAGAAGCCAAGGTGAAGACTCTGAGTGAGGAATGAGAACCCTAATTATCCCAGGATGGAGAGGGACCCACACAGCTCTGCCATTGCTGTCATCCCAGGGTGTCCCTGGGAAGGTGTGTTCAGATGAGGTTCCCCTTCAATTCCTCCTGCAGGATGTCAGGGAGGTGGGGGCTTTGGAATGAGAGGTCAGCATGAAAGCAGTTGAGCAGAGGACCTCAGGTCCTGCCAGAAGTCAAGGTGATGGCCCTGAATGTGAACTGAGAGAAACACCTGCTATTCCAGAACAGGGGTGGCTCCACAGGGCCTGGACTTGCCAGACCTGTACCAGTTCCACTAAGACCCAGATAAGGCTGGAGAGCTACAGCCTAAGGCAAACTCTAGTTACTTCACAGAGTCCTCAGGGGAAAGGCTGATCAGAGAAGAGAAGCCTTCTGGGTTCCTAGAGCAGTGCCCTCAAGGAAACCTGCAGAGATGCCTGTCAGTAAAGCCCAAGGTGGTGTCTCCCTGCTAAAGGGTATCACACCATTTCATTCTCTTTCCTCCAGGTCACCGAACCATCTACCCTCTTTCCCACACTCCTGCCTGCTGTCCCTGACCAGTGTCGTCATGCCTCGGGGCCAGAAGAGTAAGCTCCGTGCCCGTGAGAAACGCCGCCAGGCTCGAGAAGAGCTCAAGGATCTGGTGGGTGCTCAGGCCACTGTACCAGAGGAAGAAGAGTCCCCTTCTTCCTCATCTCCTAGTTTCCAAGATGTTCCCCAGAGCTCACCTGGCACTGAAACACCCAGGAATCCTAAAGTGCCTGGCAGAGTCCGCTCCACCACCACCACTACTGCTGCAGCTGTTTCAAACACAAGATTTGATGAAGGTGCCAACAATCAAGTGGAGGAAAGGCCAAATGCATCACAGGCCCAGGATACCACTAAGCACTGGCACAGAAGCCGTATAGAAGAGAAGGTTGCTATGTTGGTGCGTTACCTTCTGTACAAGTATCAAATGAAAGAGCCAATTACAAAGGCAGACATGCTGAGAAATGTAATCCAAGCATATAAGAATCATTTCCATGAGATCCTCAGGAAAGCCTCTTATAACATAGAGCTGGTCTTTGGCCTTGATGTGAAGGAAGTGGATCCCAACAAGAACATCTACGTTCTTGTCAACAAACTGGAACTAGGCTGTGATTTGAGAGTGAATGATAACAGAGGGATGCCCAAGACCGGCTTGCTGATGACTGTCCTGGGTGTGATCTTCACGAAGGGCAACCGCGCCACTGAAGAGGAAGTCTGGAAAGTGCTGAATATGATGGGGATATATGCTGGGAGGAACAACTTCATCTTTGGGGAACCCAGGAAGCTCCTCACCCAAGATTTCGTGAAACAAAATTACCTGGAGTACCGGCAGGTGCCCAACAGTGATCCTCCACGCTATGAATTCCTGTGGGGCCCAAGAGCCCACGCTGAAACCAGCAAGATGAAAGTCCTGGAGTTTGTGGCCAAGATCCATGATACGGTCCCCAGTGCCTTTCCAACCTATTATGCAGAGGCTTTGCGAGATGAGGAAGAGAGAGCCCGAGCCAGAGCTGCAGCCAGGGCTGCCGCTACTGCCAAGGCCAGTGCACACTCCAGGGCCATGGCCAGTAGCTTTTCCCGCCCCAAGTGAAGGCTGAGGAAGATTATTTCCTATGTGTTTGAAGAGAATAGCTAATATTCTCCTTAGTGGAAGATCAGGGTGGGGCTGAAGAAAACATAGCATATAACATGTTTGCATGCTGTTCTATTTAGTAACTTGGATATTTGTTTAAATGTTGCTCCTTTTAATAGAAGGTTTCACTAGCTTTAGAATCTGAGTTTATGAATGGTGTAAGTCACAAATTTATTGATGTCTATGAGGTTTAAGAGTAAGAGTTTTACTATTTTATAGAAGAAATTGGGAAATGTTCCATCTTATTTGGTTATTTGGAACAAGATAACATAGTAGTGGATTAGGCATTTCCTTGGAAATGTAAAAGAATTCAGCAGTAAAATAGCTGGGATCAAGAAATAGAGACAAAGTAAAAGATGATAAATTTTTACATTCCTTTATCACCTTTAGTCTGTTGTTCTGTAAAGTTAAGAGATATATACTTGGATGTGCTTAGTTTATTCAAGAATGTAGAATTAACTACATCATAATAAATTAGACTTCTTGTACATTGTCTCATTTATTTCTCAAACATTCTTTGAGCATCTGCTCTTTGGGAGGCTCCGTGCTAGTACTGGGAATGTCAGGATAAAGACCCACATGCCCAGAGAATTTTAGAGTATGGGAGCAGCTGTCAAGTAAGGAAGATGGTGAGATACACCCTAAGACCTAAGGACGAGTCAAAAGAAGGAGAGGACATGGGAGGATCCAGATGTGGGCACTCAAGTGTAAATGCCCTGAGGCAAGTGGGTTTGGGGCCTTGGGAAACTGCAAGTCCTTCAGTGTGAGCCAATGTTATGTAAAGCTGGGTGGTGGTTCAGATGAGGCTGTGGGAGTTGGGGGCAGAGGCCAGGCCCTCAGAAGTTTCGTCCAGAGTTGAGAGACTAAAGCCCGGAATGGAAAACTGCTGCTACCAGTTACTTTTGAGTCCTGGATATCCAGAGAAAATTCTCCACCTGGGACAAGAATGGACGGTGTCCTGTATCCTTTCCCAGTGTCTTTTTCCCAGTGTAGTTGAGCATAGCATAAGAACTATGTGTTTTATGCATATTATCCCCAGGGAGTTTCCGAGAAATAGGGGTGATACATGATGGGTATGCTCAAAAGCCCCTATGTTAGCAATATTTGCTCTGGCCTGGGAAAGACAGAGCCCACTACATTAAAAGTTCATTTTATTAGGTTGTCTTGTATTTAATTTGGCAAACTCCAAGTGAGGGCTACATTTTTAATGGGACTGAAATAAATGAAAATAGAGGTGGTTTGGATGGAAGGACAGTTGGAAGGGATGGAAGGAGTTTGTTCTTAATACAAATTCTAGGATCCTTAAGTTTCATCCAACTGGAGAAGACTCCTCCACACCCACAATAAATGGCATACCCTCAAAAACATATATAGCAAGTAATTTAGTTTTACTTGCTAAGCATCATGTTAGCTGATTTGTTGTGCTGTATCATAGAGTGCTGCATATTCTCTGATGTCTCTTGGATTAAAAAAATCACAGAGCAGATTTTGGTAGGGTCTGGGGTCAAAATAATAATAGTAATAACTGCAAATTATTAAAGAATTAATACATGCCAGACACTGTGCCAGGTGCTTTCATACATTACATACATCCCAGGGGTCCTACACAGCAAGGCTTATCAAGCTCACTTCATAGAAAAGCCTCACAGAGAATATGCACTTTTCCTGACTTCACCTGGCTCCTAAGTGTCAGAACTGGGGCTAGACTTCTGTCTCAGTTCGTTTAGGGTCCCTCACTCTTCCAAGCCTTCTGGCATAAAGCAGATGTTCGGCCTCAATTCATTTCTACTCTCACTACTCCACAATATCTCTCAGGCAGTGAAATGAAGGATCTTGTTGCCAATGTACTAACCCCAGGTGTAATAAATAAAGATGAAAATGAGAATTAAAAACAACTTCAGGATTGTTGGTGGGCTTAATTTACCTAGGCTCCTCCTGCCCCTAGCCCCAGAATTACTTGAAAGCTGACTCTGCTCCAGTCCCAGCACTTGGGACCAGTTCCATCACTTTCCAAATTACATCACTCTTGCCCTAGGTCTTCCTTATTGTGCCCTCCTGTCCAAATCAGGATCCTGACCTGCCATCCAGCTCTCCCCTGCTTCCTTTCATAAAGCTGCACTTCGCTCCCAGTGGAACAGAAAGTTCAGAATCACCTGCCTTTCCCCTGGGCAGAGTCTGATTTGGCAGAGGATCCACTGGTTCTTGAAAGATAACCCTGAAGTTAGGGGAGAGGTTTTAGAAAGCAGATGAGATCAGTAAGAAAGGAGAATTTAATCTGGTGACTTATTTGAGACCGGCCTCTGACTCCATGCACTGATGAGTGAGTTCAAATTAACTGTCAAGAACCAAAGCCTCCCTCCTAAGTAGTAGATGAGGAAGGACCAAGGAAATCACTGTGTAGCAACCATCTGCAGAGGCAGGGTTCCAAAAACTTGGGCGTCCTTCCAGGAGGATGTAGTATTTTTCTATTGCTGACAAACAAATTGCCATAAATTAAGGGATTTACAACAACACATATGTATTATCTTATATTTCTCTAGGTGAGAAATATGGGTTGGCTGTGCTGTTTTCTTTGTTCAGAGTTACACAAAGCCCAAATCAAGCTGCCAGAGTCTGGGTTCTTATTGGGAAGTGCTGAGAAGAATCACATTCCACACTTTTTCAGGTTGCTCTCGGAATCCAGTTCTATGAGGAATTCAGTTCTTTGTGGTTAAGACTGTCAGCTGAAGCTGACGTAGTTCCTCAAGGCCTCTGTCTAGTCCTTGCATGTAGGCCCCTACTTCAGAAACGGCGCATTGAATCTGTCTCATGTGGAAACTCGCCTACTCTCTCCACTGCTGCATCTCTCTTCTGTCTCCAACCAGAGCAAGTTCTCTGTTTGTTGGGGTTCATGTCATTAGATTGGGTCCACTCAGGTACTCCAGTATGATCTCCCTATTTTAAGGTCCATTCCATTATTTTAATTACATATGCAAAGTGCTTTTGGCTATGTAACATAATGTGTTCACAGTTTCAGGGATAAGAGTATGGGCATTTTTGTGGAACAATTGTTCAGTCTACCACTGAGGTAGAAAATGTCTCCCTGGCAGACATGCCAGCTTTGATAAGAAAAGAAAAAATAATTCACCATCATTTTCTCCTGACTCTTGTCTGTATCTGCCCCAGAGGAAAATCCTGGTTTTTCAGTGTGCCTAAAGACGCCCATACAAGTGTTCAGGCATGTTCAACAGGTGGTGGGTAGCAGAGACTCACAAGTTATGGTTTTTCCATGCAGCATAGGAAGAAAAAAATTCTCAGCACATTGAGATTATAGAGGTTATTGAAAAGGTCAGTGCAGAAAGGTGCTATCGTGTGAGGAAGGGTGGACCCTCCCTGCTGAGATTTACATGATCATTTTGAAAGTTGGTATGATCCCGTATTTGAAAACACCAGTCACATGTAGACACCAGAAAAAAGTTGTTGAATTGCAAGGAAACTGATCCTCAAAAATCCTCCAGGAAGGAAGAGGGCTGATGTAACAAATTATAATAGTTGCTCTTTTTTGAGTATCTACTATGTAACAGTTAATGGGAACGTCTGTAAGTGCTCATTCACTTTGTGTCTTGCTCTCTATCATTGGTTCGTATGGAGACTACTTGCCAGTCCGCTTGTAGTTAAGAAGGGTCATGTCACTATCCTTGACACTGAATTATGAGCGGAAGCATGCTTGTTGCCTCCAGACCAAAGTGTCTGAGAACCAGTGTGCCACCTCTATGCTGTTTGTTTCATTCGGCAAACATGGAGAGCCTGTGTTGAGATGTGAAGGCTCAGGATGTAAGCAGCCTGGGTTCACCTGACAATGGAGACCTCCGCCCCCGCCCTGCCAACGCCTGTCAGATTTCATGTGCATAAGAAATAAAACTTTGTTATGTTAAGCCATTCAGAAATCAGACCTTTCCCACTACATCTCATAAATACTTTATCTGAATAGTACACAGCTACTATTTCTGTTGTTAGTCTTATTTAAATATTTTAATTACAAAAGGAAATAGGACATATATTCTTGCTGCCAAAAAATTCTAACAATAGGGATAAATCACAATTCTGCTTCCTTACTACGTTCCTCCCAAAATTCATCCCTCCCCAGAGGTAACTGCATTAAAAAATCTTGCGTGTAGTATTTTAAAATTTATTCCAGGCCTATTCTTCCATACATGTGCTAGAAAAATATACACTGTGAGTTTTATAAAAGCACATGTAACAATGTACATATTGTCCTGCCTCTTGCCCCTCTCGCTGAACAAAATGAACGCAAGGTCTTTCTGTGAGAAAACATATAGATCCACCTTACTCTTTTTTTTTTTTTTGAGAAAGATTGGCCCTGAGCTAACATCTGTTACCAATCGTCCTCGTTTTTTTTCTCCCCAAAGCCCCAGTACATAGTTGTATATCTTAGTTGTAGATCCTTCTAGTTCCTCTATGTGGGACGCCGCCTAAGCATGGCTTGATGAGTAGTGACTAGGTCTGCGCCCAGGATCCGAATGGTGAACCTTGGGCCTCCGAAGCGGAATGCGAGAACTTAACCACTACACCACCAGGCTGGCCCCACCTCACTCTTTTAATTAATCCCTAGAATTCTAAAGTGTGTGTGTGCCATAATTAATTTAACCATTCTCCTCCTGATGGACACACGAGTTGTTTCCCATTTGTTGCTATGATTAATAGAACTGATATCAACAACATTGAACATCAATTCTTGGGCAAATGTGCATGTTTTATTATAGGAAAGATGTAGAAAAGTGCAATTAGATTAAAGTGGAAAGAGTGTGATGATAGTAAATTTTTATGAATATTACTGATATTCTGTTACAATAATGCTATGCCAAATTATCTTTTCACATATGTATGTACGTGAATAAATCAAGCTCTCATTGGCATTTTATTTTATCAACCTTTTAAATTTTGGTCAAACTTTTGATTGAAAATATATTGTCTCACTGTTATTTTAATTTGTATTTCCTATTTTCTAAATAGATTGAGCAGAAAATTAATTTAATCCTTCACTCATATAAATTGAGATTTCTGCAGTGATACCTTAAGTACCAGGAGTCCTCTGGGTGTATACTCTAGAATGACAAGATGCCAGGAAATGGGCCTGGACAGGAAAACATCAATAAGTGAGGAACATCAGGAGGACCTGTGGGGGGGCGGGGAGTAAAGCAATTTCCAGAATCCATGAGAGAGAGCACATATTAAAACAAGTCCAGAGAGCCCAGGGCAGCTGGAAGTCAGGGGCCTGTATGCAGACATCGGCAAAAGGTAAAAAAAGTACTAGGAGAGAAGGTAGAGAATCTGGTGGAGGGTACTAGAGAACTTATATAAATAGGCTAGGGAATCTCTGAATCATCATTACCAGCCTGAAGTTGTACAGTGATCTGAGTGGGTAGATCTATTGGATGAAAGGACCAGAGGCATGCCTGATACCCCACCCTCCCTTGGAACACCTGCTGCCCACTGCCAGGCAGAGTATAGCTGGCTCCCCTGTGTCACCCACCAAGTGATGCTACTGATGGAATCAGAGAGAGCTACATCTCTTAACTACCCTGGTGGTTCCATGCATCCTTGCCAGTGTACCAGAGCTATGAGCTGTCTGGATGCCTGATGGAGAAGGCTATTTCTTCCCCTGTGTATGAGGCCCTCCTCCCACTGAGGCTTAGGCTGTGCAAGTGGGTGGTATTGGTTGGTGATTCAGGACAGCTAAAATAGGGCAAGTATTACCAGTGAGTATTGGAAGGGGGTGTGTAGCTGCAAGGAAGGGGAAATTAGAGGGGGAATTCACTGAGGCTAATTATCTCAGTGACTCTGGGAATTAAGGGCTGAGTGTGGACATTGTCTTGAAAAACAATCCAGATGTTATCCCTAGCTCAGATTGCCTCCAGTGTTCCTGATTTCTTTGCACACTAGAGGGTGGATCTTCTGTGCCCGTGTCTGGTGGCCTTTATCACCAGACACTGTAGTAGGGAGGTGGTCTATGATGCAAACGTTTACAGGGTGGATAGAGAACCACTGGAGATGGTGCACTTCCTTGTTAAACTGGGAATGATGGGTATACGTGGAGTGCAAAACTATTATTACTCTAACCCCGACTTGATTGAATTGAAATTTAAAAAAAGGATTCTGTACTAGCCATTCCCAAAGTTGTCACGTGGTCTTTATTAACTTTTATATCACCGTTCTCAGGCCAGCAGAGGGATGGGTCTCAAACCCTAAGAAGTAAAAGTAAGGACCGTGAGGGAGTGCTGAGGGAACCACTCAACCCGTAGCAGAGTTCACCCACACAGACTTGTCCCTGCTACCAGCACTCTTAAGCCCGTGCCTGGATGTTAGGTCCTGGCACTCCTTCACTTTCCCCTCTGGTACTCGGGACGGGAGACTGGAGGGTGGGATGTTTGAGAACAAAGGCCTTCGCTTAAGGCTGGCTGACTCAGATCAAGAGACTGAGGAGTCTCAGGTCTCCCAGGAATCAATGAAAGATCCATATGTGAGTTCTGCCGGTGTCCGCCACCCCCACAAAACAGAGTCCACCCCTCGTCTCCAAGAACCACACCCCTGCTCTCAAGTCCATATGGGAGTGGCCGGAAGCGGCTAGCAGTAACTTCCGTAACTTCCGCCTCTGACTTCTCAGAACAGTGAAAGCGGTTGTCGACCGGTGGTGTGCGGTAAGTAGAGGAAAGAATTCTCGGGAAGACTTCCAGGTCCTGTGAGGAAATAGGGTCACGACCCCGAGTGAAACTTGAGGGCACTCCACACCCACACCAGAAGGGGGGGCAGAATCTTGCCGTTTGTGTCAGCCCTGGGAGGCCCTGGACAGGGATCACCAGATGCGGTGCCCTTTGAATTCCCCCTTCTGTGGACGCAGGGGGGTGATGGTATTGGACCAGGTTTTGGCATCTGGCCTTCCAGCAGTGAAGTTGAGGACCCTGAGTAAGGTCTGAGGGAAGCAACCGCGCCAGATGAGAAAGGCCCCGCAGAACCTGGGCCCCTGCTTTCAGGCCTAGGAGACCCCTGATGGGAGGGGCAGGATATAACACGCCCTGAGTTCCGCCTCTGGTGTCTCAGGGAAGCAAAAGAATTGGTGCGAAGGGGACAGTGTAAAGTTAGCAGAGGGAGGAGGTCCAGGCCCTGCCAGGAGGTAAAATAAGAATGCTTCGTGAGGTACGAGGGTACCCACTACCCAGTGAGAGGGGGGCCCACAGACTCCCACCCTGCATTCAGCAATAGCAGGCCCTAGGCAGGGAACATCTGATATAGCACTCCCTAAATTCTTCCTCTGGAGATTAAAGGAGGGGATGGCATTGGACCAGGGTTATGGGCTCAGGCCGGCTGGTGGAAGAGCCCTAGGTCCTAAAAGAAGTTGAAAGTGAGGATCAGGAGTGAGGTCTGAGGGACCTCCCATCCAACAAGAGAGGGGTTCGCAAAGAATGCTGACTCTGCTGTCAGCCCAGGGAGAACTGAGGTGAGAGTGGCTGAATGCAAAACACCCTGAATTCCAAATCTGGCATTTCAAAACAGTGAAAGGCGGGGTGGCCCGTGGCCTAGTGGTTAAGTTCAAGTGCTCCCCTTGGGTGGCCTGGGGTTCGCAGGTCTGGATCTTGGCGTGGACCTCTGCATCGCTCATCAAGCCATGCTATGGTGGTGTCCCACGTACAAAATAGAGGAAGATGGGCAGAGATGTTAGCTCAGTGCTCATCTTCCTCAGCAAAAAGAGGAAGATTGGCAAACGGATGTTAGCTTTGGGCCCATCTTCCTCAGCAAGAAAAGGAAGATTGGCAAACAGATGTTAGCTTAGGGCCAATCTTCCTCACCAAAAACAAAAAAAAAAAGTGAAAGGCTTCCTGTGAGAGGGGCTGCTTTCAGGTAATCAGAGGAACTACTTCCAGGTTCTGCCAGGAGGTAATGTAAGGACTGTGAGTGAAGTTTGAGGGGACTCCTTACCTCAAAAGACACAGGGTCCCACGGATTCCTGGCAGGCCCTGGGCAGGAATCATCTGATGAAGCATCCACTGAATTCTCACAAGGAGAATTCAGGAAGGTGAGGACATTGGACCAGAGTGTCAGCCTCAGGCCAGCAGAAAGAGGAGTCCTAGGCTCTAACAAAAGTAATGAGAAGGACCTTGACTAAGTTCTGAGGGAACCATTGACTCCATATCAAAGAGGGCCTGCACAGAGTCCCAACCATGCTGTAAGCCCTGAGGGGTCGCTGGGCAGATATGGTAGGCCCCCTAAATTCCTCCTCAGGGATCTCAGAGATAGGAGGGCCTTGTTCTAAGGTGACAGGTTTCAAGTCAGCAAAGGGAGAAGTTCCAGGCCCTACAAGAAGCCAAGGTGAGGACCCTGAGTGAGGAATGAGGACCCTAATTCCCCTAGCACAGAGAGGGTTCTTCTGATCTATTCCATTACTCTCATCCTGAGTGTCCCTGGGAAGATATGGTCAGATGAGGTTCTCCCTCAGTTTCTCCTCTGGAATCGAAGGGAGATAAGGTCATTGAAATGAGGAGTCAGCATAAAAGCAGTAGAGTAGAAGGATCCCAGAAGCTGCCAGAAGTCAAGATGATGGCCCTGAAAGTGAACTGAGAGAAAACACTCTCTACTCCAAACAGGAACCTCCACAGATCCTGGACCTGCCAGGCCTTGCTGTCACCCCAGTAAGCCCCAGGCAGATCTGGCAAGTAGCAGCCCAAGGTGAACTCTAGTTACTTTTACAGCATTCTCAGGAAACAGGCTGGTAGGAGAACAACAGCTTTGTGGGTTCTTTGAGCAGTGCACACAAGAAAACCTGCAAAGATGGCCATTGATAAAACCAAGGTGGCATCTCTTTGGTGAAGGGGTACACACCATCTTATCCTGTTTCCGCCAGGCCACTGGTTCACCTGCCCGCTTGTCTGCTGCATCTGAACACGGTCATCATGCCTCGGGGTCAGAAGAGTAAGCTCCGTGCCCGTGAGAAACGCCGCCAGGCCCTAGAAGAGCCTGAGGACCTGGTAGGTGTTCAGACCACTTAGGGAGTGGGAGAAGAGTTCCGCTCCTCTTACTCTCCTTGTTGCAAGGGTGTTTCCCAGAGCTTACCTGCTCCTGGGTCATGTTGCAATTCACAGGGTCTTCAGAGAGCCACATCCACCGCCACTACTGCTGCAGCTGTTTCATACAGAAGATTGAATGAAGGTGCCAACAACCAAGTGGAAGGAAGGCCAAGATCCTCCCAGGCCCAGCCCACCACCGAGCTCTCCCATAGAGGCCCTCTAGATGAGAAGGTGTTTATATTGGTGTACTATCTGCTGTACAAGTATCAAATGAAAGAGCCAATTTCTAAGGCAGATATGCTGAGAAATGTAATCCAAACGTACAGGAATCACTTCCGTGAGATCCTCAAGAGAGCTTCTGAGCATGTGGAGCTGATCTTTGGCCTTGACATGAAGGAAATGGATCCCTACAGGCACATCTATGTCCTCGTCAACAAACTGGAACCAAGCTGTGATGGGGGGCTGAGTGATGGTAGTAGTCTGCCCACAAGTGGTCTGTTAATGATTGTCCTGGGTGTGATCTTCACAAAGGACAACTGTGCCACTGAGGAGCAAATGTGGGAAGTGCTGAATATGATGGGTGTATATGCTGGGAGGTGGCACTACATCTATGGGGAGCCCAGAAAGCTCATCACTCAAGATTTAGTGAAAGAAAATTACCTGGAGTACCGGCAGGTGCCCAACAGTGATCCTCCATGCTATGAATTCCTGTGGGGTCCAAGAGCCCACGCTGAAACCAGCAAGATGAAAGTCCTGGAGTTTGTGGCCAAGATCCATAAAACGGTCCCTAGTGCCTTCCCATCCTGGTATGCAGAGGCTTTGCGAGATGAGGAAGAGAGAGCCCGAGCCAGAGCTGCAGCCAGGGCTCGTACTGCTGCCATGGCCAGCGCACGTTCCCAGGCTACGGCCAGTGCACGTTCCAGGGCTACGGCCAGTGCACGTTCCAGGCCCACGGCCAGTGCACGTTCCAGGGCCATGACCAGCAGCGTCTCTCACCCCTAGTAAAGTCTGAGGCAGATTCTTCACTTTCTTGTTAAAAAATAGTCTATGTTCTCATTAGTGTAAGGTCAGGGTGGGGCTGGAGACAACAGAATGTATGACGTTTGTGTTCCTATCCTATGTGTTAACCTAGATGATTTTTAAATTACTTTTCCTTTTGATAGAAAGTTTATTAGCTTCAAAATCCAAGTTTATGAATGACATTGCTCAAACTTGTGCCATGTATGACATTTAAGAGTAAGAGATTATTATTTTTTAAATCAAATTGGAAAACTCTCCATCTCATTTAGTGATTTGTAACACGACAGCATGTCAGTGGATTAGGCATTTCCTTGGAAATGTAAAAGAATTCAGCAGTAAAATACTTGGGATCACGAAATAGAGAAAAAAAGTAAAAGATGGCCAAATATTGTACTTTCTGTTCACTTTTAGTCTGTTATTTAAAATTAAATGATACATGCCTGGATATATGTAGATTATTCAAGAATGTAGAATTAACTACATCATAATAAATTAGACCTCTTGTACATTGTCTCATTTATTTCTCAAACATTCTTTGAGCATCTGCTCTTTGGGAGGCTCCGTGCTAGTACTGGGAATGTCAGGATAAAGACCCACTTGCCCAGAGGATTTTAGAGTCTGGGAGCAGCTGTCAAGTAAGGAAGATGGTGAGATACACCCTAAGACCTAAGGACGAGTCAAAAGAAGGAGAGGACATGGGAGGATCCAGATGTGGGCACTCAAGTGTAAATGCCCTGAGGCAAGTGGGTTTGGGGCCTTGGGAAACTGCAAGTCCTTCAGTGTGAGCCAATGTTATGTAAAGCTGGGTGGTGGTTCAGATGAGGCTGTGGGAGTTGGGGGCAGGGGCAAGGCCCTCAGAAGGTGCTTCCAGAGTTGAGAGACTAAAGCCTGGAATGGAAAACTGCTGCTACCAGTTACTTTTGAGTCCTGGATATCCAGAGAAAATTCTCCACCTGGGACAAGAATGGACGGTGTCCTGTGCTCTTGTCCCAGTGCAGGGGAACACAGTCCGCAAACCAGGTATTTTATATACATTGTCTCCAGAGAGTCTCTGAGAAATAAGGCTGATACTGGCTTAACATGTAATGCCCAGAAGCTATTGTGCTGGCACTCTTTGCCTGGGGCTCTCAAAGACAGAGCTCACTCTGTTAATAGGGTATTTAAATTAGGTTATCTTCAGTGCACTTTGGCAAACTCAAAGCAGGGGATAGACATTTTGATGGGAGGGAACCAGGTAGTCCTTCACACATTTTCTAGGAGCCTTATATGCATCCAGCTGGGGAAGATTTTCCCAACTCACTATGAAATTTCCTCAAAACGTTCCTTAGTAAGTAACTTACTTTTACTTGGTAAGAGGCATTTTGGCTGATTTGGTGTGCTAGGTCCTAGAGGACTGTATATTCACTGACATCTCCAGGATTAAAATAAATTTGAAACTTCCAAGATGGAAGATTGGTAGTGTTTGAAGTGAAAATTATAAAATTGTAATAACTTCTAATTATCAAAGACCCAATATATACTAGTTACTGTACCAGGTGCCTTACATAAATTACTTATATTCCAACAGTCCGACTTCACAAGGTATACATGAGCCAGGGACCCAGATGACCACATCAATGTCACTTCACAGATGAAGAACATGAGGAACACATAGCTTTGCAATTTTCTCAAGTTCACATGGCTGATAAAATGACAGAACTGGGACTAGAGCCCTGGTCTGAATTTCCCTAGAACCCACACTGTTCCACTCCTCCCAGCCTGAGGCTGACCTGTGTCTATTAATTCATTTCTCTTCTCACTATTCCATGATGTCTCTCAGGCGGTAAGAAGAAGGACCATGTGGCCGAAGTCCAAAAAGCAGGCCTCAAGAAGGAAGGTGAAAATGAGAATCCAACACATTTGGGGATTGTCTGAGGGCTTCATTTACCTAGGGTCCTCCTGCCCCTCGCGCCAGGGTTCCTTGAGAGCTGACTCTGCTCCGGTCCCAGCACGCGTGTCCAGGCCCAGCACTTTCCTGCATGACAGCTCCCCTCCCCTGGGTCTTCCCCAGTGTGCCCTCAGGTCCAAAGTGGAACCCGACCTGCTGGCCAGCTCTTCTCTGCATCCTCCTCTGGAGGCTGCACTCTGCTCCGCTGGAACAGACAGCCCATATCCCTGCCCTCCCCTGACTTAGAGCATTCCGACTCCCTGTAGATCGCATCTGTCACTGTGGACCCCTCTGATAGCAACAGCCCCTTCCACGTAATTGTTCACTTTTACAATTACAATACCACGTAATTGTTCACTTTTACAATTACAATACAATTGGTTGTATTGGTATGGTTCTATTTCTAGACTCTATTTTGTTCAATTGATCTATGTGTCTATCCCTCTGTCAATACCACACTCTTGCTTATTGTACTTACATATATATATATAGTTGGTCTTACCATTGGGTAGTATAATTCCTCCAACTCTATTCTCCTTTTGTAAAATGTTTTAGCTATTCTAGTTCCTTTGCTTTCCCATATAAATTTTAGCATCAGTTTATGTATATCCATAAAACATCCAGCTGAGATTTTGATAGTAGTTGTTAAACTTGCAGATCAATTTAAGGAGAATTGCTATTTTGCTCTTTACTATGTTGATTCTTTTATTATGTGGATATGGTACTTCTATTTATTTAAATCTTCGATTTCTTCCCCTGGCATTTTATAGTTTTCAGCTTACAGATCCAGTACATGCTTTATTTTATCTAAACCTGAGTACTTAATTTTTTAGCTATTGTAAATGTACGGTGTATTTTAATTTTGGTTTCCAATTATTTATTGCTAGTATGTAAAAATATGATTGTATTCTGTGACCTTGCTTGTATCCTGAAACCTTGCTAAAATAACTCATTAGTTAAAGGATTTGGGGAGGATTATTTTGTTTTCTTTTTCTCCCTAGATTCCTTGGGATTGTTTTTTTAGACAATGTCATCTGCAACTAGAAACCTTTTTTATTTCATTGTTTCCAGTCTGCATGCCTTTTACTTCTTCTTCCTGTGTGATTGCACTGGCTAGGACTTCCAGCACTATGTCAAATAGGAGTGTAGTGGGCATACTTGCTTATTCCCAGTCTTAATGGGAAAGCATTCAGTCTTCTACCATTAAGTGTAATATGAACTGTAAGGGTTTTATATATACATATAGATAGATAGATACTCTTTATCACCTTAACAAAGTTCCTTTCTAGTCCTAGTGTGCCGTAAGGTTTTATAATGAATGAGTGTTGAATTTTGTCAAATGCTTTTTCTGCTTCAATTGATACTAGCATGTTGTTTTCCTTCTTTCTTCTGTTAATATGGTGGATAGCTTGGTTGATTTTGAATATTCATTCAATCAGACCTGCATTTCCTAGAATAAACACTTTTTCTTGGTTTATTATTTTTTATGTATATTACTGGATTCAGTTTGCTAATACTTTGTTGAAGATTTTTGTTCAAGATTGATAGTGTTCTGTAGTTTTCTTTCATTGTACTAACTTTGCCTTATTTTGGCTTAAAAGTAATATTGGCCTCATTAATGAGCTGGGAAGTGTCCCCTCCTTTTCTATTTTCTGGAAGAGATTGTCAAGAAATGATGTTATTTCTTCTTTAAGTACTTGGTAGAATTTATCAGTGAAACCATTTCAGTTGGGAGAATATTTTCTCACAAGGTTTTCACCTATAAATTCCATTTCTTTAATTGTTATAGTATTATTCAGGCTATCTATTTTAACTTGGATGAGTTTAGGCAGTTTGTCGTTTTTGAGGAATTAGTTCATTTCTTTCTGAGTTGTCAAATTTATGTTCGTAGAGTGGTTCACAATATTTCTTTATAATCCTTTTAATGTCTCTTGGGTCTGTGGTAATATCCCCTCATTTTGTCAGATACTGTTTGTTTGTATCCTCTCTGCCTTGTTCTTTGTCAGTCATGCTAGATGTTTATCAATTTTATGTTATGAAAGATTTTATGTTTTGAAAGAACCATGTTTGATTTTATTGATTTTCTCTATTGTTTTTGTTTTCCATTTCATCGATTTCTGACTTTGTTTTTGATATACTTCCTAACATCTGCCTCCTTTTCTAGTTTCCTGAGAGGGACGCTTAGGTTATTGATTCGAGATATATTATTTTCAAATATAAACATCTAGTGATATGCATTTATTTAAAAGCATTCCTTTACTTGCACTCACTGACTTTGAAATGTTTTATTTTCCTTTTCATTCAATTAAATACATATTTTAAATTTTCATCGAGAATTCCTCTTGGGCTTACACATGATTAAGAAGTATACTGTTTAATTTTGCATTGTTTGGAAAATTTGGCATGTTTCATGACCCAGCACATGGTTGCTCTTGGTGAATAGTCCATGTGTGCATAAAAAATGTGTATTCTGCTGTGGTTGGTTCAAGTTTTCTATAAGTGTTAACTAGATCCTGTTGTTTGATAGTGTTGTTCAGTTCTATATCCTCAACGATCTCCTTTCTAGTGGTTCTTTTGATTCCTGAGATAGAGGTGTTGAAGACCCCAACTATAAGCTTGGCTTTGTCTATTTCTCCTTTCAGTTCTGTCAGTTTTTGTTTCAGATATTTTGAAATTCTACTTTTAGGTACATGCACCTTTAGGATTATTATGTCTTCCTGGTGAATTGACTCTTTTATCATTATTTAATATCCTCCTCTGTCATTGGTAATTTCTTTGTTCTGAAATCTACATTTCTGATATTAATAGCACCAATCTACTTGTGGTTTGATTATGGTTTGAATAGTATAACTTTTCTCATCCTGTTACTTTTAACCTATGTATGTAATAAAATTTGAAGTATTTGTAGATAGCGTGTGATTAGCTCATACATTTTTATCCGTTTTACTAATCTCTTTTAGTTGTTATAATTTGACCATTTAGATTTAATGTAATTATTGATATTTCTGCTATTTTATAATCTGTTTTCTCTGTTTTACATTCTTCTGTTTCCTCT